AAGGAGGAGCGGGAGACTCTGCAGAGGCTCCCGGAAAATGTCACCAAACTCTCCCAGCAAAGTGCCTCCCTGCAGCAGCTGATCGCAGAGATGGAGGGGAAGTGTCAGCAGCCAGTTCTCGAGTTGCTGAAGGTGAGATTGCATCGAAACGCGGCCTCCAGCCAGAATTACAGCTCGGATCCATGGGCCTGGATCCCAAGAATGGGAATAAACGTGCTATGTGCGGTGCTCACAGACAATATTGGGCCAAGGGCTCCCTCGGTTCCAAATGGTGCAGTTTGGGTGGGAGGGGAATCATGGAGATCCAGGGAGGCCCTGGGAGATTAAATGTTTGGTACAAAAATGATACTGGGCTAAAGGGAGGGGAATTGTGGAGGTCCAGGGGCGCCCTGCGAGATTAAATGTTTGATGCAAAAATGATACTGGGCTAAGCCCATCCCTGCTGTGACTCCAGAGCATTGGCCTCAACCAGTCGCTAAACACGGATATGGGGGCGGGGTCCCTAGGAGGAAGAAACATTTAACTAAATTCCCGTCCAACCTACAAACAATGAATCGAGTGTAAATGCAAAACGACGCAGGAGGTTTTGCCGCAGAACAGTGCAGCCTGGGACAGGGTGGGGTGTTCATCTATTCTCTGTATGAAATGCTGCTGCCTGGGTGGGGAATCGCTCCGATTTATGCCCCGGTGTTCACACAGAGCATCGATTCTCTTTCTCCTTTCAGGATGTGAAAAGCACGTTGAGCAGGTGCGTGTCCCATTTTTGCTGCCCTCATATTCCTGGTGGGGGCCCTGTGGTGATTCCAGTGCAGGGCAGCTGACGATTCTGGGATCCAGGAACCCGAAGCCGTTTGCACCGACCTGCAGTGCAGGTATAAAATTTGTCTTGATATGAGGGAAGCTCTGAACAGATTTGCAGGTGAGTGGAGCCCCTGGGACATCGAGCTGTTTAGTGCGGGGGACTCTGGGCAGAGCCTAGGGCCCCAGGACACACGTGGACCCAGCTGGGAGCTGTGCAGTAGCTGGAGGCTGATGGGCTCAGTGCTGGGGAATTTGCCTGCTGCTCACACCCACCTGCTGGCACTTGCCAGGGATCTGACCTGGCCCCATCACCCTGACCCTCCCTGAGGCCATTGAGCAGGTGCTGGGAGGCCTGGCCTGGACCCATGTGTTGGGGGCTGCACAGAGGGGTCCTGGGAATGTGTCTGTCTCTCTCTTCAGGCGCATGGGTGGTGCTGCCCGGGTATGTAGGCAAACCTGCCGTGTCTGCAGCACCTGGTGTGAGAGTCTCCAGTGCGTCTGCCCCGGGGCTGGGTGAGGGGAGTCAGGGGGAGGGAGGTTGGGACAGTCACTAACTGGGGACACCTGTACCCCAGGGGCTGGGAAGGGGCTCTGTGGCCAGTGCCCGCGCT